CTTTTTTTGTTTTCATCACAAGCAAAAAAAGAATTTAAGCGAAAGATTTCAAATAGATCTTACTACTTTTGTAGATTTGTAAATGAGGTCTAAGTATATAAAATATGTGCAACAATTATGTAGACAAATTTCAACATTAAATTTTTTATTTTATACGTTCGCTTAAACCAAAACTGAATCCAAAAATGTAATAAAAAGAATCAAATATCAGTTATTATTATATTAAATAAATTATAGTTATTCCCTTAATGGATGTTTAATAAAATATAATACAAAAAATCAATGGCTCAGTAAATATTCGGTAAGTAAACTACCATGCAAGCCATGTACAATAACAATTATCGCTGAAGTCAATAAAATCACCCATACGCACTGTTGCTATTAATATATTGCTGTTAACATATTGTGAGAAACTTTTCGTTTCGGACACAATCCATTAGCAAAGTATTAAGAGAACCAACATATGGAGAGGAAGGGCAGTCCATTGAACTACTTAAATATAGCAGAAAACACCAATTAAAAATATATTAAGCCGGCTTTATGGAAAATCTGAAATAAGACCAGATTAACCCGCATTCGTTGCATATTTTTTTCCGCCTGCATATGTGTGTGCGCCTGGCAATGAAAGACACAAAGAGCCACTGCATCAATGGGCGAGTTTGAAGGCACGATGACTAGATTACGCTTATAATGAAGGCCCCAGAGGGGGGGGGATGGGAACAGATGGGGGAGGGGGGATTGGTTGGGAAGACCCTTAACCCCCCTGTCTGCCGTGCGGCAAAAGGTAAGCCCGGCAAAAGGGGTGCCACTGAGTGAACGCAAAAACGAGCAACGGGCTCAAAAATGGGGGGAAAAATCGGAATTATCATGAATGGAAACTAATCCCGCCTATGCCCTGAAAGCTTATCACAGAGCCGGCTTTCTCTGGGTCTTTAAAAAATATATAGGGCTGTGTGTGGGCTCGTCATTGAATTTGCAGAATTTTTGTTAGTTTTTTTTTTTGTTTTTTGTTGTTGTTGTTATATTCATTTGCTTTTGAGCAACGGAACACTTACATTACTAGTTTCGAGGAAAATTAAAAAGGGGAAAGGCTTTTGCAACAGGGAGTGTTTTGTGCTCGCAATGGGCACAATGAACGGACATTCCATCAGACTTATTGGATTAAAAAAAAAAAACTTTTGAATAGAATTTCCAAAAATTTGATAACAGGTGAGGTTTCTAAGTATTCCTATTTCGGGATACAAATGGGTAAATGAATTTTCAATAACATCAGCATACAAATGAAATACGCCTTTGTTTAAACATTGTTTACACAACGTTTATGTCTTAAACTTTGTTTTAATAAGATTGACGGATAAATTCTGCAGCCACGCCGTTGACAGTTTATCACTTAGTCAAAGTTTTGTGCGAGGAAACTTAAATTACTTACCTTTCTTTCCTTGAAAATTAAATTCCCAACTTTTTTGATGGCTTTCAACTTCCTTATATTGATTAAATTCGGAAGTAATAAAAAAGGTTCCTGCTGCTGACACATTTTGAAAATAAATGCCCGAGCTGAGTGAAAGGTCATTGAACATTTGCAACCTGGACAAGGTATACTGTTTTTTGTTTATATAAATCTTTTCATTTATTTATAATTAAAACACAAAGAGTATATTTTAAAAGTCATGCATATTGAACCCTCTGTTTTTTTTTTTTTGGGGTTTTTTTGAGCCGCACAAAGTCGTGTGTTTACACAACTTTTGCAAACATATTGAATTGTTGTTTTATGACACACAGAAGGGAAATGAATATTAATTGATTGAATCTTTGAAAGGCGGACAAAATAAACCCAGTTGTCGTACATATTTAAGCTGCACAAATTCCAGCACTGCTCCTTTAAAAACATTTATTTATAATTATAGCGCACAAAAGGGAGAGATGGAAAAAATGTCTGTGCAGTTGGTTAAAATCTCAGGCGAAGTTCATTGAACCGTGGGCGAAATGAACTCCATTTTTATATATTTAAAGTGTTGTGCCATTTTAATTATGTCCGTTGAGTTGATGGAACGAGTGTTGCGCTACTCTTAAAGCATTTCATTTGTAATTATAACAATTTCGCGTGGGAGAGAATGGCAAATTGCAAACTGCAGCGCAAAAAAAAAAAAAAATGGCAGTGCTTATGTAATTACAACACTTCTAAAGGGCCCAGTTGAGTTGCGATAAATGGGACTCGGGACGTTGAATGGGGATTACTTCCACGGGCCCACATACTTCGGGTAATTCCCGGTTAATTGGACTGTCAATTGAACGGGAACTGGAAGTGGTAGGGGTCTGGTAACGGGAGCGGGAATGAGAATGGGCATGGGAATGGTAATGGGATTGGAAGGCAGGCCCAGAGGGGTGGAAAACTTTGTTGGGCAACGAGTTTTCATGCAGGCTGCTGCATCTGCCGCTGTATCCCTAGGAAAGCCCCCAATCCCCAACCCCCGGTTATCCCTATCCATTTTGCCATGTTTTTACCCGCTTCTCCCCCGTGTTTACCCCTTTTCCTTATGTATTTTCATCTCTCATCACCCCCCCACCCCACACTATTTTCCTCTTTTTTCCACCCCCTGTCTCTTAACATTTGTGCAATATTTTGCCATGAATTGACGGGCTCGTTGATAGGCATTCGATGGGAGGGACTTTTGCCGTTATTTGTATGGCCTAAAACTTTTTCGTAATGCCCGATCGGTGGGTGGGCGAAGGGGGGAGGTGCGGAGGGTTAAAGCAGGAAAAGCCTGTTTGCAAATTCAATTGAAATTGCATTTGAAATCATTTCGGCATTTGCCATTATTATACATACTATACAGAAGCACTCAAACATAGTTGCTGTTTGTGTTAGTCGCAATTTACCACAATTTGCACAATTTATTTGCTTTGCCTTTGACTCTTCAACTCTCGGGATTGCCCTACTGTTATTATTCTATTTTATTTTATTTTATTTCATTCCATTCCATTGCAATTCATTTCATTTCATTTCAATTTAGACCTTTACGCCGCCCCACCCAAAAAAAAAAAAAATAAAATAACAAAAAAAACCTTTCGCCACTCATTTTTATTGTTTCATTTTAGCCCGAGTGCGGTTTTGGTTGCAGACCAAGATTTGACCGACAATCGAGAATCGAGCACCGAGCACCGAACACGGAGAACCGAGAACCGAAAAGCCCCATCCGGAATCCCTATCGTCCTTGTCCGGTGGATAGGAAATATCATCGCAAAAGTGTCGATTGAAAGCAATTTGATTTGGCCAACACCATCCGCTGATTGCTGCTGTCAGTGGGATTGTGAAATTCTGTGAAAATTATCCACGCAAAAGTGTGTACTTTTAATCATCAGTCGGCGCATTTTTGGCGCAGTGGGATTGGATTTTCGCCTGTGTGCCAAAAATTGCGTAATGGCCGAAAATCAAAATGCGGCAAGTTGCAAAATGGAAATTTATTAGCCGCTCCGGGGGCTGAGAGATGTAAAAACATTTCGCGCCGAGCATCCTTTGGGGAGTCACGCTAGATTGACCACGAATTAAAGCCATTATCGGCCGAAAGGCCGACCCTTGTGTGTGTATCTATCTATTATTCAGGTTTTAAGACCCGCTCTTCTCCTCTTTTTTTCTCGCTTTTTTTTTTCTTAATCCGCTTAAAGCGAAATCGGTTCGGCAAATGTTAAAATTCCAGGATTAGGGAGTGCAGTAACATTGGGTAAGGTCAAACTGTGCTACAGCTTTCGATCCACAAAAGTTAACCCCCTCCTTAACAGCGAGGAGAAGGTGTCAACATGTGGAGAAAGTAGCCGAACTCTAGCTGTTATTGGGGGCTAACAGAGCTGGGGGTTGGGTACACTTGGTTTACAGAGCTAGGGGCTGCTGTACCATGTACCCCCGTTGGGTACCTAGAAAACCCGAAGCCGGTTGCATCATCCCGGTACCTGTATAACGGTAAAGCTTTTAGTTACATGCCTTCCAATCTGAATCTTACCCGCTTTAGCAAAGAAATGCGAAGAAGATGCTCCCGTGGAAGTGCGTGACACGAGGAAACTGGAAAATATCGGATCAAAAAATTGACTTATTTTAAAGGGGTTATTTTCGTATTAAAAAAAACTATTTATTAACCGAAAAAAGCTATCAGTTTTATAATGATCTCAGAGATTATTTTGTATTTAATACTGACCAATGAATAGTGTTAGTTATTTTGATTATTAAAAACTAGAGGTATATTTTCAATTAAAATAAAACAAAACTTTTAAAATAAAACATTTAACATTTATTGTTTACAAAAATTGTAACTTGTTTCTCAACGCATTACAATGTAGATAAAATATGTATATTTTGTTTTTATAATTTTATAAATTTTTGAAAATTTGTATTATTTAACAAGTGTTTTTAATATAAGTCTTTGGTTGGTTTCTAGAAAATGATTTTTTTAATTATTCTAAAACTAATAGCAACTGAATATATAAACAATTTTGGCGTGGTGAGTTGCACGCGTTTGGGACTTCTCATCACCCATTTATGGTAAATTTATAGCAGTTGGTTGCAAATTTATAGAATCTGCGAATGCTTTTTCTTTGGTTTATAATTATGGCTTTGACTGCTATAAAAATCCTTTATGGCAGTGATTGTCCCAAAATTATAAATAGGACGAAATCAAGTATTTGACAAAGGCGCAAACCGGAAAATAGGACGAAATCAAGTTTATGTCCAAGGCGCAAACCTTAAAATAGGACGATATCTAGCTTTTGACCGAGGCTCAAACCTGAAAACAGGACAAAAAACCAAGCTTAAAGTTAAAAAAAAATGAAATTTCGAAGAGAGAGTGGAAATTGAGGAAAGTGGACCAAAGTTGTTGCTATTTTGGCAGCTTTCTCCCAGTTGGCCGCGAGTTTTGGCACCGAACGGTCTACGAAAATGAGCGAATTTTCCGCCCGCACTTCCGCTTCCTGCTCTTCCTCTTCCCGCAGTCCTGCTACTTGTTATTGTTATTTTTATTGTTGAAAATCAAAGGTGATACAACATAGTTGATGAAAGTGGTCAAATGAACAACAAATACGTCTGATAGAAAATTAGAAAAAAATCAAGTAAGTTGTTGCTCATTTTTTGTTGGATAAAGAAAAGCCAGGAAAATTCAAATGAACTACGACTGAGTGTGTGTGTGTGCGTATGTGTTGCTCTAGATTTTTGGTCTTTTATCTCGGCCCTCCATCTCCTGCATTTCCCCATTTTTGATTACTTTGACTTTCGCCTGCTTTTCACTCTCCCTTTCACAGTGAAAACTTTTTGATTTCTGTTCTTTGTTTTCAGGGAAAAAAGGTCTAGGGGCTACAGTTGTCTCTCGCTGACGTGACTAGCCTTAATTTTTCAGTTTGTCCCATTTTTGAGGCCACAAAAAGAGGTCACTAGCCCGGCTGCTTATTGGCTAATTCGGAGCGACACTTTCAGGCCCAAACTACTGTATATAAGGTATATAATGTATATATATCTGATATGGAGGGGGGAGGGGGGGTGCTGCAGCAACAAAAGACAGAGCAAAGCCAGTGGAATGACCTCGCAGTAGGTTAATGAAGAGTGCCACTTCTGTTGGCTGCTGCCTGCTGCCTCTTGGCCCGGCCTAAAAGTCCTCCTCGGCCACCAAGATGTGCTACCAACTTGGCAGTACACTAGCCAGAATTTAATTGCCTTCTACAGCTGATATTACACATGCTTAGTTTAAGGGAATATTATGGTATTTAGAGAAATTGCATCTCTGTTTCGCAAGTTCGCAATACTTTTCTAATGTCAGATTTGTGTTCCTTAAATGTAAATACATCCCAAGCTCTCGCCCACAATCCTTAATATTTGGTTACACTTGCAGGAGGTGTTAAAGTTTGACCTTTTTATTAAAACAAATACGATTTCGCAGTGCTTTGTGCGTAACTATAAGATACAATTTTATCCACAAATCTTATTAACTTGCAACCTTTTACTTAGTTTAAATTTTATCAAGTCTTATATATATACATATATATTTCCTTTAAATTCTATCAAGTCCCTTTAGTATTTTTATTATATTTCAGGCTAATCCCTGCCTGAAAATAATATTATTAAAATTTAACAAGGATTTTGTTTGAGTGCAGGCTACGTGTGTGGGCGCCCAATTAAGCTCTCATTAAACACGTTATTTACAGGCACTTACCACTTATGTTGGTATGCGCTCTTGGCCCAAGTTGTCTGCTCTAATCGACCAGGATCTCTTACTACAGGGTATCCAATGGGCGACTCCCCGCCTTCGCACTTAAATGTAATGCATTTACACTGGGGCATGTAATTAAAGCGACTTAAGGCTCAGCTCAGTGAACTGGATGCGATGCATCGTGGCATTAGTGGGCAAATTAATGCGGACATTAAACGGGGGAATATACACCAAGGCTTAGCGAACACTTTCATTGATTGGACTTGAATGGACAAAATACAGTGAAACTTCACTAATTTGAACTTTCGTGATTTAATACAATATTTTATGGGGAATATCAAAAATTGCTATATTTTGTGGGGCCAATTATTACTCTATTAACAAATCTGTCATTATTAAAAAGTCTTTGAAGTATCATTATTTCTTGTTTATTTGGCTTGTGATATGAAAAACAATTTTTGAGCAATAGACTATTAATATTTAAAAAATTCATTTAATAAAAAATAAGTGGATATTGAATTGGGGTAGAATATAGTGTAATGTTTTTAGGTCTCTAAAGACTTCTGACATACTTTCTTATAAGTAGGCATAATTTTTTGTCGCCTTCCGAGCTCTTTGTTCAGCTTACTGCAGTTTGACTGTAATCCGTCATAAGTCCCAAGTCCCGCGTTACCTAAGCTCTTTGAGTGCCCGACGACGACAGTCTAGGGCGGATGATAACACGGGTGATAAAGAGTTTGGACGAGGGGCTGTCAGCGAATGATCCATTGTCATGGTTCCTAGTCCCCGGACCCCACCATCCCACTCCCCATCACCTTCTCGAGTCGCCGCCGCTTTGAAGTGGCAATGCTGCGTCTTCGGTTACAAATTCAATTGAAAAACTGTCAAAGTTTGTGATTGAGAACGAGAACGAGCACCTGTACCCGCCCCCCAAAAAAAATAAAAAAAAAAGAAAACGCTCCACAATGATGAGGCAAATTGCTCAGTGTAAAGCGATGCGAGATGAAAGTGTTTTCCAAATATCTAAAATACCAGCCCCACCTCTCGCCATTATCATCAGTTTCCAATGAAAACATTTGGGTTTTATTTTCGTTTTTAGAAGGAGATGAACTGAGGAAAGATGACTCACTTTGTTATCTATTCTTTGCAGGAAAAAAAGAGAATGCAACTTGATTGACAGTGGTTTATAGTTTCAATTTAATGTTGTAGTTTCCGAAATAAAATGATTGCTTTGCTAAAATTTGACTTAAGTCATACTGAAAACTTGTCCTAAAACTCTTAATATTTATAATAATTGGCAATTAATTCACTGAATTTTTAAATACCAAAAACCTATTATCCTAAACTACACCTTTGCAAAAAGATATAAGGTAGAAAGTTCCATTAAAAACAAGAGAGTTTTCTGTTCTATTTTTTAGATAAATGCAATCTCATTATAGTTTCGCCCATTTCAGCAGGAAAGCGGGGAAATGAATCAGGATTGCTAGTGAGACGCGGATATGATGAGCTTCACCATTACCTTGGCGCTACTTCTGGTGGCGGTTCTGATCCTGGGCATCCTCTTCGCCTGCCACTGTCTTGGTCCGAGGGCCGCCAACTGGATGCGGATGCGCTCCAGCAAGGAGGAGAAGATCGGACTGTCCAACCACAAGCAGAAGCTCTTCCACGCCAACGGCTACATGGCCAGTGTAAGTATTCTGCTCATTTATATTCTGTCATTTATATTCTGTCATTTATATCCGAAAATGCCATGAATTTTTGCTAAAAAAGATCAGTATTTTTACGATAACAATGGAAATAATGGTCTCGTAATGGAATGGCATACCTCGTTAAACTCGTAACAAAATTTCCAATCGAACTGCACTCACAGCTTTTTTTGTACATTTTTTAAGAAAACTCATGATGAAAACCTCACGAAATATGTGAAATGTGAAAAATGGGATTTTAACCATTTTTCGCTTAAAAATATTAGTATTTTTACGATCACAACGCCAATAATTGTCCAATAATGGAATGGCATACCTCGTTGAACTCGTAACCAAATTTCCAATCGAACTGCATTCACAACTTTTTTTGTAAAATTTTCAAGAAAACTCATGATGAAAACCTCACGAAAAATGTAAAAAGCGAAAAATGTGATCTTCAACCATTTTTCGCACAAAAAATTCCAGTCTTTTCACCATAACAACGCAAGTAATAGCCCAATAATGGAATGGCATACCTCGTTGAAATCGTTACAAAATATTACGATAACACTGCAAATAATGGTCTCATAGTAGAATGCCATACCTCGTTACAAACTTTTTTATACAATTTTCATTCCCCACACTAATTGGTATTGAAATACAAATATTCTGGAATGTATAATTTTAAGAGCAATGCATTTGTTATTATTTTTTAAATTAAATGGTGTCTATTCTCCGCTTGTAATCGGCAGATCCAATCCGGTTCGGAGTTCCTGCTGAGCACAAGTGGCAGCTTCAAGCGCTTCGACACCATCGACAAGGAGGACTTCAACCGCTCGCAGCAGACGCACCTGCTCCTGATGAACGGAGGCGGAGGGGTGTCGATAACAGGATGCTCCGGCGTCCTGGAGGCCACCACACCCATGTGGCACCTGCCCTCGTCGGATATTTACATCCCGCCCAAGCCCACTCGACCCGCGCCCACTCCGAATGGCAAAACGGTGACCTTCTCCTTCAGCCAGGTGAACGAGGTGACCCCCGCCGACCAGGAGCGTCGCTCCTGTCTGCGCCTGAATGGTGGATCTGTGGGTGGAACTGTGGGTGGATCTGCGGTTGGTTCAGTGGGTGGTTCAGTGGGTGGTTCTGCGGGTGGAACTGCGGGTGGAAATGTAGGTGGAAATGTGGATAGATCTGTAGGTGGAAATGTGGGTGGAACTGTGGGTGGACCTGTTGGTGGATCTGTGGGTGGATCTATTCGTGAATCTGTGAGTAAGTCTGCAGGTGGAGCTGTGGGCGGTGTCCTGCCCCAGCCACTGGAGGCACCTCCTCCGGCTCGGCTCTCCACTTCCGTATCGGTGAATTTGTCGGGCACCGCGATACCCAGACCCGTTGCCAAGCGACAGGTGTCCTTGCAGCAGGGCATCAATCAGGAGAAGTCCCCGGTGACCCCGTCGCTGGAGAGTGAGAAGAAAACGCCGGCGTTGAAACGCAGAAACTCCAGCACTAATCCCTTCCTGTGCGAGTCCACGGAGCAGGTGCACATTTCGGATCCCCTAGAAACCGCTGTTACTTCTCTGCAAAACACCACGATCTCGGCCAGTCCAAATACTGCGCCACCTCCTCCTCCTTCTTCTGCCATTCCAAAGGGGACCCCCAATCACAATGGCAATCCCTTCGTGGAAACCCAAAGCCTCTCCAGCAGACTCCTGAAGATGCACAACACCACGAATCCTTTTACTGGCCTCACTCAACGGGTGAAGGGACCGCACCTCCTGCAGAAGACCATCTCCGAGGATTATCTGTTCCGGAAGCTGGGTGTCAATGGTCACACTTCCATGCCCAATGGTCATGTCAACGGGAATGGCAATGGCAATGGCAATGGCACCTGGTCCTTTGGACGCTCCTTGCTGCGACAGGAGTCCACTTTGAGTCTGGGCATGGGCTTGGGCAGGCGGAACAGCTCGCAGGTTTCCCTGGACTCCGGTTCGGGATCGGTGGCCGGTTCGTTGGAGGGCATCAATCTGGAGAGGGCCATCTCCTGTGACTCGGTCACCTCGGACTCCACCTTGTTCCTGGATCAACTGGATCAGCCCTACACTCAGATTACTGGCTACTTGTGCATTGGCCTTAACTACGACAAGTGAGTGGTCAGATATACCGCCTTATAATGTGATAACTTAAATACCTTTCGATTTGCGAAGAAACAGCATTAGCAATGAGGGCATGGAGCTGACTGTCAGTGTCCTGGAGGCCAAAGGACTCCTGTGTCCATTCAGCGTCGAGTCCCTGGACACCTTTGTGCGCGTCTACCTGGTGCCCGATCATCCCGGTGCCATGCAAACCAAGGTACGAACTGTTCACATAGTTATCAAAGATCTTCCTTGGCTCATTTTTGCATAGTCACAATCACAACTGAGATCATTATGTAATTTAAAAGGTAGACCAGCAGTTACGCTTAAAAATCATGTTCACATTGTCCGAATATTTCAGGCATTTGAATAATATATAATATTATATATGTAAACATTTAGTAATCGATTTAATGATACTATGTAGTACATATCATATATGTGTATGCACCTATCTTACAATCTTTACCAGAAACTTCACATTTAATAGTTTGTTCAATTAAAAAGCTATTGAAGTTAATTACTTTTTACACTTTTAAAAACTAAACCTTCTTTTGGGTTTTTTAAGTATTATAATAATATTTATTTTTTATAATTATAATTAATGTAAGGTGGTAAATGCGGCGCTAACTCCCAGCTACAACGAGAGCTTCAACTTCTGGCTGCAGAGGCGACAGGCGCGCCATTCGCTGTGGTTCCACCTGTACCACAACGGCCCCGCCCACACGCTCATTGGGGAGGCGGAGATGGAGATCGGGGAGCTGCCACGCCCCATCACCACGTGGATCCCGCTCTCGGACTCGCGCAAGTGCAACGCCCGCTGGGGCGAACTGATGTTCTCGCTGAGCTACCTGCCCACGGCGGAGCGCCTCACCATCGTGGTGGTCAAGGCCCGGAATCTCAAGCTGGACGCCGACCAGCCGGCGGATCTGCCGGAGTCCATGGACACGGTGCACAGCATCTTCGTCAAGGTGGGTTCTTTTGTGGAAACAACTTTTATCGGGTTAAGATAGAAAATAGTACATATATTTATTTTGTGTTTTATTTTGAAATATTTTATTCTTAACTTTTATTATTGGCTTTTGTTGGCGATTCTTAAGAATTCTCATTAATATATGCAAATTAAAAGACTCCGGAAGTCACATTTCACCAAAGACATATAAATGATTCGGGTCACCAATTGCTATCTTCAGCTAATAATAACTCAACTAAAAGTAATATATCTTGAAAATTAATAGCTCAAAGGGTCACTTTTCATACAAGCCAGGAAAACGTTCATTATCTCGATCATGTTCTAATTACTATATCCCATTTAGTAAAGCTGCGCAATAATCGGGGTCACGAATCACAGTCCTTAGCTATGGAATGTACATATTTATATATTTTTTTTAGGTCTACCTGATGGACAACGACCGCAAGGTGCTGAAGAAGCGCACCTCGCTGAAGCGCAAGGACCGCAGTCCGATTTTCAACGAGTCGATGATCTTCAGTGTGCCGCCTCCCAGTCTGACCACCACCCAGCTGCGGGTGACCGTGTTCGGGGTGACGGCGGCGGGGGAGTGATGGCCTTGGGGCACATCGCCGCCGGGAGCTGCGCGGTGGGCAAGGGGCTGCGCCACTGGCACCAGATGCTCTCCTCGCTGAGGAAGCCGGTGGCCATGTGGCACGTCCTGCGGCGGGCGGTCAACCAGCCGATTTTCACGGGCGGCGCCGAGGCGGTGGTGGCCGCCATGCAAAACACCCTGCAACGGAGCACCGCCAAGCGGAACAGCATCGTCTAGAGATCACAGATCACCGGCGGCACTCTCTCTCTCACGGAAATTTTCCACTTCGCTGGCAAACCCAAATTTACCGCCTTTTAGTTGGAAAAACCCCTTTCGAAAGGAGATCAAACAAAAAAAAGAGAAAAGAAGGAGAGAACACAGAAAACCTTGTGGAAAATTGCATTTACCACACTCTAGCCATGAGACTTTCTTACTTTTCTACTGCTTACCACAACCAGCCACAAGTATTTACTCTAGATGGCCATGTAATCTAAAAACCCGCACCAAAGGACAAACGAGCCTATTAACTAGTTATATTCCCACATTGTCGCGCACTAATTGTTATGTGAAGATCTGTATCGGAACGATTGATATACTATATACTATCTGGATGTCTGGTAAATACTTGTTGAAATTTGTCGCATACGACGAGCGAAATAATTGGGGAACTTGGATGGACTGTTTGGGTTTTTCCCTATATTTATTATTTTATTTTTATTAAGGATAAAAACTTGGAGTTTTGAAATCGCCCAGATGGAAATATTGAAAACATCTCTAAGAACTTTAAAAAATAATCCCTTTTTGAAGATTATTAATTTTGAAGGTTTTCATATTTATAAATATCAGGCTAAAAAATTAAAAAGTAAAAACCAGATAGTCCTTAGTTACATTTCAATGACCAAATTATTTTCATATATTTCAAGATCATCTGCCACTTGGGATCTCAAGTTTCCCACTTTAATGTAATACTACTCCCTGAGTTATTTTTCTTCTTTTTTTTTGTTGGGAAAACCCAATGGAAAACGAAAGATATTGCAATATAATCAAATCAGAGAGATACCAAGGTAATACAATTATTTCGCGAGCTGTATGATGTAGTTTAGCGACCAGTGAGCCTGTTATATTATAACTCTATAGATAGATCAGATTGTCGTTTGGCAATCAATCGTTGTTGAATTTGAAAACCAAACGAAATCGAAATTGAGAAAATCAAAAATCAAAAATCGAATATCGAAAAGCGGTGAGCCCTTTAAGCATTGTGATATGATATAATAGCAAACGAAGTGAATTCAGAGTGCGTCTGTTGTGAGGAGCGGAGGATCGTATCGTATCGAAGGAAATCAAAGTATTTACGATAGTTACATTCCATAGTCGAGATGTATGTATTATTATATATTATATATTATATAACGTTTGTACTTTTGTGATTTGCGTTCGTTCGAATTTTTGTAGAGCCGCGTGTTTTATAATTAGATTTAGTTGGTTCAAGGATCAAACTTTTTAAGGGGAAATGGATAATGGATAATATATACATACAACAATACGGACACACTTAGATTTCCATTTAGAGAGTGTTTTTTAAACAGTAAAGGACAATAACTTTGCAAGCATTTATGATTCAATGTAAATCAAGTAATTATAATTATCGAACATTAATCAGAGTTCGTTGTTGTCCCCGATTTAACAGATTATTGTCCGCTGGATTGTCCTTGTTGTAATATCCTAGATTGTAATAGAACGCACTCGAATACATACGTATAATCCTTGGCAGTCCTTTTCAAGTCGCACCTGTATTTTGACCAAACCAATGGAAAACCTGGCACACTTGTAGCTGAAGCTTTAATCCACGTACTCCTCTAATAGAACTCAGTCACCTTTTTGAATCACACTTACTAAATGGATACATATATACAGAGGGACAGTGCGTTTCACAAGTGATGACATCGTTTTTATTCGGTGTGAGGACAAGACCTCCAATTCAACACCTATTAATGGTGAGTTCGATTACATATCTTAATTTAAAACTCGCTGACAATCTTCTGAAATTCCAAGCCGAGCTGTCGCACACTTGTGAAACGCTCTGCACCAGAAATATATTTGAAATACATATATATCTACATATATAGAGAAGGCATTTAAAAGGCATCAAATGGAAAGTCCTGCCCCAAAACACTTACTATATAGTATATAAACCGCTAAGAATTTTTTTTCTTTTTTTACATACTGTTTCTTAGCTAAACTAATGAAGCGATAAAGTTAAACTCGTGTTGAATTTGTATTTATACGGAAATATATATATATATAAATGTATGTGCTATATAAGATAATGCTACAAATTGTTATACAAGTAAACCAAAATTGAGTCAAATAAATAAAGATATTAATGGAAGACAGCCAGAAATCAATATGCACTTTGACGAAATACAGAGTCCAAACAAAGACGTGCGGATGGGAAAAGTACAGTGGAACTACTTTAAGTCGAACCAGTGGAGAAATAAGGAATTACTTTGCCTTTTTTCAGGAATGTTCAGGTAGTGTTTAATACTTCCTTGTAAGTCTTTTAAAACATAAGGGGTAAAAGAATTAAATAGAAAGAAACTAGAATAATGACTAACTGGATAGCTTCATCTGAAAGCCTTTAAAGACATTTAAGTATTCATAATTTTATAGATTTCCTTTACCAAACAGGGCCATTTATAAAGCCAAGATTATGTTTTATTTACACTAATTTATATTGTTATTTAAACAGAGCTAGGAAACTACTGGAACATTTTTAAAGCGATATATTGATGTTTATTTTGTGGGCAGGAAAATAAAAAAAGGGAAAAGTTATAATTTCAGAAAGTTGCTTTATCAATTCTAAATGATTCCATTAACTAATCGGAGCTAACCAACAAACCAAAAGGAAATATTTTAAATTCAAAAGGGGAGTTTATTAATATTGTACATATTATTTTGGCTTATCAGAGAACTTGTAGAAAAGGTTGGTTGCGTTTAGTGAAGTCTGCCTGTGGCAGAATGTACCTCTCGTCTGCTGATGCGAGACATCTGTGCGGCGATTGGATCGTCTAAATTTAGAGGCAGCGATTAGCAGCCAATGGCAGCCGAGTATCTCGCACTTCTGGTACACCCCGTAGTATATCTCGAATGTCTCTCATAGATCGTACATCCCGGATCCCCCGGGACGGAGAAACCACTTGACACTGCCAGACTGTCTGACGGCGACAAGTAGCTGCGGTCGTCGCCTCGTCCAGTGTTTAAATGTTCGCGCCCCGGTCCGCATCCTTTTAGTCGATCAGCGAGTCAGGATGAGCAAGGAAGCCAGTAAGAGTGCGAGGATCGGGCAGCGGGAGCGCCGTCTCCTGCGGACGCCCAAGTGCGCGAGGTGCCGCAACCACGGCGTGATCTCCTGTGTCAAAGGTCACAAGCGGCTGTGTCGGTGGCGCGAGTGCTGCTGCCCCAACTGCCAGCTGGTGGTGGACCGCCAGCGGGTGATGGCCGCCCAGGTGGCCCTGCGCCGCCAGCAGACCATGGAGGCCCTGGAGGCCACCTCCTGCTCCGCCTCGAAGCCATCGCGATTGGCCACTGGAACGGCGTCCAGCAGCGAGGGCGAGGACTCCCTCAGCTCCACATCACCGCCGCCGGCACATCCATCCGCCGGACACACCGCATCCACATCCGCATCCGCATCCTCATCTGCCACACGACAGGCTCTGATGGCCCAAAAGAGGATCTACAAGCAGCGATTGCGCAGTTTGCAGCAGTCCACACTCCACATCACCGCGGCCATGGAAGGTTAGTTGGCTATAAAACTCATTAAGACCCGAAAAATCTAGTTCACTTCAGTGGTATACCCCTATTTATACCCCCACAAAATAATTCGATTCAAAACTTTATAAAAAGAAGATAAGATACCGTATAAAATAACTCCTTTTTTATACCTTCTTTAAATGTTCCCAATTATAACACTGAAAAACACAATCAGTTATAAACTATAAACTTGATATTAAAGGATTAGGTTCCTTATAAAATATTTTAAAGTTTTACAACATTGCAGAGTTCCCTGAGTAATAACAGTATTAAAACCCTTTTCAATTGTTTATTAGACTTTTTAACACTTTTTTGAAATTTACATTTTTAAATCACACTATTTAAATATGAAAGAATTGCCCAAATATTTTTTTAAACATCACAATTAAAATGCCAAACAGACAGACCCTTAATGAACATGCACTATCCACTTTGGAAATGAGTGGACCTGCCAGTAAAGTAGATAGCCCAGCTGAAATGATAAATACAGCCCCTACTCCTCCGATTTTCCTCCGCTTTTCCTCCGTTTTTCCACCGCTTTTCCATACGGTGCCAGACTGTCTGGCCCGTCCGTAATCGGAGATCTCGGGTTCGGATCTCCTGCCCATGGACGTGGACAGGAAATGACTGATGCTGATGCTGATGCTCATGCCCAACAACACTGGCAACAATAACAATAGCAATTATTCGACTGACGAAAAACAATTGAAATCGGATGCCTCGGAGTGTGTGTACGCACATTTTCCAATCACTTGAGGGAGTCGCATTCGCAGTCGGTAAACTGAGACGCGACCAAAACGGAAAAACCTCTTCGGGAAAAGAAGAAAATGTGGCAACAGCAATTGACTTCTTTGGGTTTTCCATCTGGTTTCCGAATAAGTGGCGATCCCAATGCCGATCGGTGCCAGACTGTCTGGCAAGGCGACGCGTGTCTCGGATTACCCAATATTAATGGGTCCAATCTCGACGACCATTCTATAACGAATCGCGGCAATTTGTAGTGATAACGCCCCCCGTGTAACGCTCACTAATCTTCCCATTTTTCCCTATTTTCCAGAGTACAAGCAGCGGTTTCCCACATTCAGCTCGCCGTTGATGGAGCGCATGCGCAAACGTCGGGCGTTCGCCGATCCGGAACTGAACTACGCCATGGAGGCGACGCTGGGCGGGAACGCCTTGTACTTCGCCACCGTTGCCTCGGCGGCGGTCCACCACGAGCAGCACATATATCACCCGATGCCGCCGACGATCCCGCCCCCGCACCAGCCCGCCAATCCCCCGATGAACACACCCACCGCCTCCGCGAAGAAGCCCAAGCTGAGCTTCTCCATCGAGTCCATCATGGGCATCAGCACGTAGCCGAGGCTCATCCTATCCCACATCCAAAATACATCCTGTACATAGCCCTAGAATTAGAAAACCTTTTTTTGACTAGCCATAAGTTTCGGGTGAAATAAAACAATGCAAACCTTATGAACAAGCGATATATTTTTATTATTTTCTTGGCTTAAAAAAAAACCAAACTCGAGATTGAAATATTGATAATAATTTATATGTTTCGAGTGGAATGTTATAATAATTTAAAATATAAAGTTAAAGTTTCTAAGCAGGTGGTTTAAATAGCTAATCACTAAACAATTATACCTTCTTCTAAACCCGAAACACTAGGATGTGGTTTAAACAAATGAAGCTAAAATCATTTTATTAAGAAGATACATTAAAAACATTTTTAAAAAACACATTTTCAAAACTCGGTAATCTCAAATATTTTTTTAAGGCCCAAGTAGGCAATAGTTGACACTTATAAGATAATTTTTTTAAAATATTCAGACGACACTTTACAGGTTGGGAGAACACACAACACCTTTGGGATTGCACATTTTAGGGATATCCAAAGAAACACCTAGAATCCGTGGGCCCTGCTGCAATGGCAACTTGAAGCTTTGGTGACCAATTTTGGAGGAAATATTTGGATCTATAAATTTGTATCCGCTACTATCTGGAAATCATTACAAAATTAAATAACGGCTACAGTGATGTTGAAGAATAGACGTAAGTAATAACACAAATATAAAACTTATAGAGACGTTTGCTAAAGAAATAACTAACATTTGAAAACTAATTCCGTTATTTCTTGAAAGCTTTCCAGTGTTGCAATACGGACGCCTACCGATCTATCGCGGGCAATCGCGGTCTATCGAAAGCCCAGAGAGTCAGGGCTGCAGACGTGATATTTTTAAAAACTAATCGCCGACCGCTTCATCGTGACTTCTCCACACGCCGTTTCCGCGCGGTGCAACAATAAGAAAAACATATAGACGGTACATCAACTGAAAACAACAACTGAAATTATTGCCAGCACTTCGGTTTCGATTTCAGTTTCAATTCAGTTGTTTAATTGCGGCTAACGGCCAAGGAGCTTTGATTTTCTGATTCGATTCTGATTGGAACTCGCTCGCACACACACACACACACACATACGCGCAACACACAGATTTATTAGGTATATACGTATATTGTGTATGATTATTAATAAGTTTATGCAAGTTTTTGGGATCACAACAAAAGCCGTTAGATAATCGCCACGCCCATTTATATAGCGCCCATCAAGGTGAACCGATTAAAAAGTGCAGCGAAAAATCGATTTAACGCTCTTGAACTACATAAATATATATATAGGTGTGCACATATATGCATATATATTTATAAACACCGTGGCCGAGAAATTCTAATTGGGAGCGCCGAGGAAGTGACAGTGAAAGTGATTTGTGCTCCCAAAAAAAATAATACACAGTAGTACCCTGATTTTGTTTATCGTTTTGCGTGTTTCTTTAATTGAATTGCGTGCCGCGTTTTTTTTTTTACCTATTTGTGCGGCGTTAACAGCTGTTTAGCGAGCCAATTAGCACATCACAATACAACCCACCCCCCACCCATCACTATTTATATTTTTGTTTTGTTTGCGACGTGTCAATCGAGTTACAAAATAATTGGCTGACACTTGGCAATAATTCTCGACGGCTGGAAAATACTTGATCCGAATGGACGGATTCTAATTGGAATCCTTATCGTTACTATCTTATCGAGTTGGGATGTGTCTGATAGTCCACCATGCGGGGGGTTAAAAATGCGGAGATGGGGGTTAAATTATGGTGCAAAGTGCACCACGTCCACAAAATATAGTTTCCTTTTTGAAAGCTTGTTGCATAAGGCAGTTTGTTGTCAAAACAATTCACAAACAAAAGAGGTACACATTGCAAAGTTATGGCAGATAAACAGTGCCTCTCAAATGTTCCATGCCAAGAAAAAATATATATAATTTAAACGTGCATTGAAGATTAAAAGATATTTGTTAAAATTGTTCGTTTTTATTAAATGTTTTGAGAAAAAATTATTTTATTTTAATATTGTATGGATAAACATAATAATAGATATATCTTAATTCTGAATTGCTAAACAAAAGTAGAGATTTAAATTAATCAAGTATAAATTCAATTGATTTTTTCTCTTATTGTTGTGTATCAATCAATTTTTCAAAAATTGTAGGTGTGAATTAGCCAGTAATCTCTGTACAAATGTTTGTCCGCCTTCCCTTTTTATCTTGCCTCCTAAATCCGCAACCGGTTTTTAAAGAATCTTAAAGTCGAACGAAATGTCTTCCCAACGAGTTTGGGTTGAACTTGAATAAACAAAGCTGCTATATACCACCGATATATGCATATTTGTATAGAACAGCATATGTTTTTCGGGACATGTATTCGGTGCGTTTTTAATTTCTAAAATTTCGCTGTCGCTAAAAAGAAAGCAAACAATTTGCGGCTGATTGACGCTCGATTTGAGTGCGAAAATATATAGTATGTAGAGGTAATGCGATTTCTGGTCATTGTCATGCTTCTAAAAGAATCTTTTTCCATTTATTCTTTTTTTCACATTACGCAATTAGCGTTTCAAAGTACAAAATTCTGAAACGTTAAATATATTATATATATTGTACTGAAAGATGAGGAATTTGTAAGCTGCCACTGGGACGTCACTGATAAGCTCTGCTAATTTAGCTCAAAGTCAAAAGTACGTTTTGCTGATACGGGCAACCATTGAATCTCGCCGGATTTTATGGAGAAATAGGGCTATTAAATCATATACATAATGCCAGAGTAAATAGCCAAAAAAATCGTTGGCTGCCTCTGAAAAAACTTCCACAGATAAGCTGTTTATTAAAGATAGTACAATAAGTTACTGTTATTTAATGCATAGTACATGTTATTTCCTATGCATAAATGTAGGAACATATGATCTTAAGACTTCGGTTAATTCTTCATATTTATATTAATTTGATTTCTTAGTTGTGTTTTACATTTACCTTATTTTAATAAACCAAAATTAAAGATAGTGAAAAATGTTGTTTACTTACAACTATTTTTCATTGGGTTGCAATTAATATATGCTTGTACACAAACATAAATTTAATGCGACTTAGAAATATTCCAACAAGAAATGTTAAGTGCATTTTTAAAGTTCGCGCCGAAGTGCAACTGCTTGGTTTGCGTCCCTACTAAATGCACATTCGACATAAAATTAATATATTCAATTGCCGGTACTCGTAAATATTTACTCTTTATCTTTAAACAGTTGTATATATTTACTTAAGATATCGAGCCATTGTTAAGCCCTTAAAATTTTATTGATTATTCGCCTTGCCATTGATAAGATATAAAAATATCGCACAGAAGAAAATAATGATAGGATAATTAAATTTAATTAATTATTGAGCAACCGGGTTGTTTCAACCAGAGGTAGATGTTCTCGTGAAGAAATGCAGTGCTATTTTGTATAAAAAGAATATAAAAAGGGTATACGACTTTTTACACATTTTGATTAAGGGCATAATCTTATATTTGTACTTTTAATATTTTAATGATTTTCGATATCAATACTGGATTTTCTTTCGGTGTATTGATAACAGCTGTGCCACCAATTCGCCGCTCTTATAATTGCGAAGCTGGCCTCTTATACACGTACACACCCCGGATTCTCCTCCTCTTCTTCTTCTTCCTATTCTTCGTGTGCTGCTAATTTGTTGCCATTTATGCGCTTGCTTTTTTAAGCAGTGCTTTTAGTACATATTTACTAACTGGATTTTACTCAAATTTTTGCAGAAATAATGAGCCGAATGCTAATAAAGCCCGCTGCGGCGACAGTTTCTGCCGCTTTGCAACAACAACAGCAGCGCCAGCAACAACAATATGTGATTCGCCGCTGGAAATCGTTCCTGCAAAACAATAGCAACAACAATGGTAGTCGCCGTGCGGCGAAAGCGTCGACGTCGACGTCTGCAGCGGCAGCGGCAGCAACGTCACAGCGACACGGTCAAAGCGGCGATTTCATTCAACCGTTAGACGCCCGCCGGTTAGTTTCGCTCGCTAAAAAAAGTGAAAAAATATTTGAAACAACATCTGACAATAAACAGTGTTTAAATTGTGAATCCGATTTTTTTTTCAGTTCGTTCTCAACCAGCCACAAAATGCCGACGTCCTCGAAATCACTGAAACTGGATAACATAAATCCCAACTTTATTGCCATGGAATATGCGGTTCGCGGTCCATTGGTAATACGCGCTGGAGAAATCGAAAAGGAGCTGGAAAAGGTGAGTACTAAATGGGTCTAAAGTAAACCAAGAGTGTAACCAAAAGTAGTCCAAAAGAGATCCAAAAGAAGACCCAAAGTAATGCCAAACAAAGCGCTAAATGCGTCGCCATTATCCAGCGTTTTATTCCCCTTTGATTCCCCCAATTTGACGGCAACTCAAAGCCCGCATTTTAATGTCTAAGCACGCTATAGCTTTGTATATATAGTAATCGTATATGTATGTGGTGTGCCTGTGTTTGTTTTGGATGTGTTGCCGCCTCGCTTTGCCGCCCTTTTTTATTATTTTTTTTTATACACGCTTGGATGGGCGAGACCGCCACACCGAATCATTCACCTCGTAATCCACCCCTTTTCAAGGACACCTGTTGAAAAATTACCACGAAAAGAAGTAATTAATGTTTTGCTAAGCAAAAAGTATGAGAGAAATATGCAAGGCGGTTCCAAATAATAAAGTTTTTATTGGTTCGAGATATAGTATATATAGTAAATAGCTATTAACAATTTTCCAAAAATATTCTTATTAGTTTGAGTGATTTAACTTTTCTACCACACAAAGCCTATTGAAGAACTTTTTAAATTATTTGTATATGTTGTTATACCAGTATTAATATTCAAGGTTTTAAATGATAATGGAATTAAAAAAAAAATTTAACGAGAAAAAAGGGCGCAGCACTTTCAATAAGCATTGTATTTGTAGGCCATGTGTTTTTTTTAAATTAT